TTATTGCTTGTTATTGCTTGCCGTATTTATAGCCTTGTCTACCCTGGAACGTACCGATACACGGGACTGTGATTTATGCAGTTCTATGATTCTGCAGTTTGCAAGTTTTCTGGGTCCTGTCCTATCAAACGTTAACGTGCATGCTTCTGGATTTGTTACGAGGGGAACCGATGACCTGTAATCTTGTGGACTCGTAGCACTACATTTATTTCAGACTCTAAAATCAGTTCATCCCAGAGTTCAGAAGGTCTTGAGCACCTGTTATTTTTTGCATGTATATATTGCCTATTATTTTTTGAATGTAAATATTGCCTGTTTTTTTTTGCATGTATATATTGCCTGCTATTGCTTGCCGTATTTATAGCTTGTATTTATAGCCTTGTCTACCCTGGAATGGACGGATACACGAGACTGTGATTTATGCAGTTCTAAGATTCTGCAGTTTGCAAGTTTTCTGGGTCCTGTCCTATCAAACGTTAACGTGCATGCTTCTGGATTTGTTACGAGGGGAACCGATGACCTGTAATCTTGCAGACTCCTAGCACTACATTTATTTCAGACTCTGAAATCAGTTCATCTCAGAGTTCAGAAGGTCTTGAGCACCTGTTATTTTTTGCATGTATATATTGCCTGTAAATATTGCCTGTTATTTTTTGCATGTATATATTGCCTGTAAATATTGCCTGTTTTTTTTGCATGTATATATTGCTTGCCGTATTTATAGCCTTGTCTACCCTGGAACGGACCGATACACGGGACTGTGATTTATGCAGTTCTATGATTCTGCAGTTTGCAAGTTTTCTGGGTCCTGTCCTATCAAACGTTAACGTGCATGCTAGTGGATTTGTTACGAGGGGAACCGATGACCTGTAATCTTGTGGACTCGTAGCACTACATTTATTTCAGACTCTAAAATCAGTTCATCCCAGAGTTCAGAAGGTCTTGAGCACCTGTTATTTTTTGCATGTATATATTGCCTATTATTTTTTGCATGTAAATATTGCCTGTTTTTTTTTGCATGTATATATTGCCTGCTATTGCTTGCCGTATTTATAGCTTGTATTTATAGCCTTGTCTACCCTGGAATGGACGGATACACGAGACTGTGATTTATGCAGTTCTATGATTCTGCAGTTTGCAAGTTTTCTGGGTCCTGTCCTATCAAACGTTAACGTGCATGCTTCTGGATTTGTTACGAGGGGAACCGATGACCTGTAATCTTGCAGACTCCTAGCACTACATTTATTTCAGACTCTAAAATCAGTTCATCTCAGAGTTCAGAAGGTATCGTACACCTCTTGTTGTTCATTCATAACTCTTCTGAGCCAAATTTTTCAGGAGAGTAATCGGCAGCAAACACAAGTTCCAAGTATTTACCATGATATATTATTACTCTATTTCATATGAAACTATTGAAGAAAATATCACATATAAAGTGAAATCATAGGGTAAGGGACAAAATGGTTCCTCCATGACTCTTCTGAGACAAATTTTTCAGGAGAGTAGTTTGCAGCAAACACTAGTTTAGTGTAGACCAAATATTTATCATGTATGCCAAAACTAGGCATGAATATAAAGTACAAAACATACAAAGTACAGGAACAAAAACAATTACTTGTAAGTTCTTTTTCAGTTGATATACCTCTTGCCCTCTTCTAAAAACTGTCCTTTTAGACTCTGTTTTAGGTTTTACAATTGTTGTGAACGACTAGTATTACCAGGGGAATTCGTAGAATCTGCTTCCTGACATCTTAGAACTTCCTATACAAAGGCGATGTGAGCTCTGCCTCCTCTGATAAATGCTAAGGTAATTTTGTTTGATTTTGAAGAATATTCCATTATAGAAAATGAGCTATAACCTTACCCTAAGTGTCGTGGTAAGACCTGGAACAGGGGCTGATTTACCTTTTTGTTTTTAGGTCCCCAGAGGCCAAAAACACCATCTGTTCAAATTTACGAATATTATTAAATATACGAATGTTATTTAAACGAATATACTAATAACATTTTACTTTATGATTATGGGACCTCTACTTCAAAAAATTCATCTCTTAGAAATTAGCTTGAATTCAAGCGATAACTATTCATTGGTGATGTAATATATCCCTTTTCTACCAAGCCTAATTATTATGAATAGTAAGTAAACCAGTATTAAGAAGATGAGTAATTGGTACAAAACCACTAAACTGAGATAATTAGATTAGATTTAGATTTAGATTTAGATTTAGATTTGTTGTCATGAGAGCCGAAGCCCCCTGACTGCTTACCCGGTACCTATCCTTCAGGACATACCCGGGCCCCATGATGTAGGCCGAAGCTTACGCATCAACCTTTAGCACATCATGGGCGGATGACTTAAGGTCATCAGGCTCGCCGGCTGCCGAAGCAGACCCTTCGGAAAGAGGGTTGCCCCTCAATCCTAACCAGGGATTCCGGCTGCTTGTTTAAGCGTCACTCCACCTGGGTTCCACTAGGTCGGAACCTAGAGGTCCATAGTAGAGCGCCCCGACGCATTTAGTGCAAGCAACACTCGGGACCTATCTCATCCCTGACAGGCAGAACCCGCCATCAATAGCCAGGAGGAAGGGGACCATCAGCACGCTGACGGGGGGAACCCCAACCTCCCATTTACACCGCTGCCCGATCGAGGCCTGACCCATTGCTGGGAACCAGAGATATCCAGAGCGATAGATCCCCAGATACCCCTGGCGGGCTCGGACCCAGCACCCGATCTACTTCGTTTGCCCGTCAGACCCAACATCACTGCCAGGCCATCAGGGTTTCCCAAAAGGAGGCAGGTATAGAAGTGGGACCCACCCGGATGAACCTATCCACCAGAGGTGGCGACACCCTTGACTCAATTGAGGTTCCGGGAAGAACCCCCCACACTCAAGATAACCATACCGTCCGTGCTCAGAGACAGGGATAGGTTTGCATAAGTACCTACAAACCGTTGCCCTCACACTGCGGAAAGTTACGTTGCCCTTGAGTGTCCCCGTGAGCTGCGGGTACTTGCCCGTTTTCACCTCCAGGAAAGGTTACTTCCAAAGTCGAGGATCTGCCCACTGAATGCTGGTCGCACACAACAAGCAGGCCGAAGCCCAAAGAACCACAGACACAGGTAGGTTAGAGATTATGATGTACTTCCATCTCTCCTAGAGCTAAACACCCCTCCATCCTGGATAAAGGAATGTCACTGGGACCCGATGCCCAGTCGACCATGTCTGTGGCCAACTTGAAAATGCCGATACCAACACGGAGCATTTACCTCCCCTCTGGGGGCTAGGTATTTCACCTCCCAGGACGAGGCTACTTCCAAAGTCGAGGATATGCCTCACAAAATGTCAGTCGAACACAGCAGGTAGGACTCAGTCACAACCACAGTTACAGGTAGATGAGGAGAGGCGGAATTAACGGCATCACTGAGAGCTAAACACCCCCCCCCCACCCTGAATGGAGGGAATGTCACTGGAGGCTCCCCCTAAGGGGCTGGCGCTTACCAGTCGTCCATAACTGTGGTCTACCTGAAGTGCCGGGTCTGACACCGGGCAGTTACCTCCCCTCTGGGAGAGCTAGGGTCCGCGTGGTCGCCCAGGCCACGAACCCACGCAAGCGTGAGCCCCCTGCGGTGAGATAATTAGATTAGGCATGTGTGGATTTTCTTAGACATATCTTTGTCTAGACATTTTGCTGAGCCGTACTATACTTACTTACTTACTTACTCCTGTGGCCATGTAAACCCAAGGTGGTTTTTAGCCTCGCCAACGATCCGCCTCCATTTTTCCCTGTCTTCGGTCAATTCTTCTCTTTTTTCTTATCTCCCAATTTTCTTACATCTTTCAAGACTTGGTCACTCCAACACAGTCTTGGCCTTCCTCTGAGTCTTCTACCATTTGGTCTACCCGTGTATACCTGTTTAACTAGACTCTTCCCTTCTTAAAACGTGGCCTAGCCACCTCAATCGTTTACTCTTTATTAAAGCAATTAGGTCTGGCTCATGATATAAGTCTCTCAGTTCACTATTTTTCCTTACCCTCCACACTCCTGCTTCATGAATAGGTCCGTATATTTTCCTTAATACTTTGTTTTCAAAAGTAATTAGCTTTCTTTCTGAATACTTTGTTAAAGCCCAGATTTCACAGCCATATAGTATTATTGGTTGAAGTATCGTCTTGTAAATCCTTATTTTAGTTTTCTTACTCAATAATTTGCTGCTTAATACCTTATTCAGGCCCCAGTAACACAAAAAACAATAAGTCAGTAAACTCCAATTCCGGGGAATTCCTCCACAGTTGGCAACACTCCTCCCAATTACCAAGTTGTTATGGAAATGGTCGCTAGCGCTTGATGCTCCAGTGGTGTGTGCCATAACTACACATTACCCCTAGCGGTCGGCGCCGGAATATACGCTAACCGCAGCACAGCTGACAGTCTATATTTATTTCTTTTTGTCTATGATAATATTAAGGTCATTAGCTTATTTTGTAGATAGGTTCTTGCTCCGTTGAGCTGATCTGTTTCCCATAAAATGTCCAAAGACTTGATTTAACCAACTTTACGTAAAAAAGGCTTGTCATAGTATTCAAAATGTTGTGAAAGAAGAATTACTACCTCCATGGTAGTACTTTTATATGTCAATGAATAAGTTTTTAAGTAAAAACCAATTTCACCATTTTTATTCACTATTCACTACTTTTTATTCCACACAGGTAACTGAAAGCAAGTTCCTGTCAAATTGAGATATTTTTACTTATTATTTAATACTGTTTTAGATCTTTGTCTGTAGTTTTAGAAAATTGTCTATAGTATATAAACAATAAATAAACACATTATTTGGTATTTAAAACTAACAATTAAAATTACCTGACAGTTCACTAGTGTTGGCCCAGAAAAATCAGAAGAATCGATATATGGTGAAAGAATATTATGGTGAATAAAATTCTAAACTAGGTTGATTGTACAAGAAATGTATTTATTAGTAAGTGTGGTTATTGTCTAACCTCTTGACGTATTTTGTTGTAGGCATATCACTGCGGTGTCTGCGAATGATCAGCACGGATTTTGATGCAGCTGTATTCTGCCCTAAAGTCAGGCTCCTTGATCTCAAAGGTGAATATCCTAATTGAAACAAATAAATCAATTGTTAAAAGTTGTTACACACATGGATACTGTAAAATGTCTCTTAAGCATTTTTAACATTTTTGCCATATTGAGCTGATCTGTTTCCTACATAAGATTCAAGGAAACTCTTTCAGTGGTGGAGCGAAATGCCAAACTACATAAAGACTATAACCTGTTAGACGATATAAATAGAACATTTAGTTAAAAACAGATAAGAGTCATGCCCTTTTTTATGGATCGGTGACTGATATCAATAGCTGTTGGCCACTGAGACCAAACAAACCTAATCACAGAACATTATGAAATTGTCAATTTTTGAAACTATGTTTTTGAATACCAAACAAATACATGATTTATATGACTAATAATCTTATATTAGTGGGACCACCAAAAATAGTAGAATCATTTAACACTAGTAATTAGAAGTGTGTGCCGGTCAAGTTAGGATACATGTTAATAATTCTTTGATTCTGTTTTAGATCACTTTTCGTGCGCGTTAAATTTTTCAAGAGGATCACACATGAACTTTCTATACGTAGATGTTGACATCAGGTGTCTTCTGTAAGAATTAGAGGTAATTTTTTTATATTTCTTGTAACTAAATATGTATAATAGTTTGATAAAAATCAATTGGATGAAAGATATTTTAAAAAACGCAAGTAATACAAATTCAGGTGTCTTAGTTGAATTAGCCTGCTTTACTGGGACGTCAGATCGATGGAGACTTTATCTACGAACAAAGTCATAATCATTCATTAAATTTAAACCAACCTTTTGGTTTCATGGGATCTTATTTCATGTATTTTGCATTGAAGTCTACGTGTAATTTGCAATAATTACGTATAATATACAACATTTCAGTTTAGTATGTAAATAGATACCAAATAGGTATAATTTAAAAGGCAATATTGGAATATCTTTGTAATTATAAACTCACAAAATCTAATTTTTAGATGATGTTTGCTCACTTGGACTTTGCTATTACAGGTTTTGAGTTGCTGTCATACCAAAGGTAGGAACTTTCCTTTTGTGTGCATTATATGTTCTGCCATCATTCATCGGATTGAGTCTTCGCTTCGCTGAAGAAATCCCCGTCGTTTAGTTTTAGGTGAATACAAAGAGGTTAGGGATGGTTAGAGTTATCACAGTTAATAAATTCATTTTATTAAAATTTTGATTAGATCAGGGATTTTCAGGTTTTTTTATTATACAGTGTTAGGTGAAATTTTACCTTATCTTCTCATGAATTGATTAGCCATAGGCTTTTAGAACAGATTAGGGATTTTCAGGTTTATTTATTAGATAGTGTTAGGTGAAATTTTACTATATTTTTTCATGAATAGGTTAGCCATAGGGTTTTAGAACAGATTGGAAATGTTTAGGTTTTTTAAAGTATATAGTGTTAGATCAAGTTTTACTATATCATCTCATGAATAGATTAGCCATAGGCTTTAGGACAGAATAGGGATTTTCAGGTTCTTTTTATCAGATAGAGAGTTAGGAAGATAATTAAGATATTATTACAGTAGCTCACAAAGGCTTTATAGCTATGATAGGTTAGTGCCAGGCCATCCTCTACGAGACATCTTCGAGAGCAGATCTTCAAATTCAAGACGCTTAATTATTTGTTTGTTTTGTGTGTGTGTGTGTACTTTTATATTTATTTCCATGTCCAGCTTCAAATCAACTGATATTGTTGCACGAACATAGTGAAAAACGTTGATTTGACGCGATTTCAGATATGAGTCATAAAGTTGGATAGTTTGAGTTGATTGTTAGATTTAGTTAAAAGAACCAGAAGAAGAAGAAGATTAAGGAAATCACAAATAAAAAAATAGGGGTAAGTTGCGTAGTTTTTCGTAAATTCGAATTTTATTGATTCCTTAACAGTTGCATACTGTACATATATTTTTATTATTAGATATTGTTTTCCTTTAACTAGGTGTTATTAATACGCCTTCTTTAAGTTAAGGAATAATTGTAGGATATACATATATTTTGTATTAAGTTATTTATTAAGTAATTTTTCAGTAGCCTGGTAAAATTTTAAGAAGTTTAACCATGAAAAGCTATTATATAACTTTTATCTACTTAGGCAAAGCCAGTAAATAGGGAATTATTTATGCCTTCAGCAGATGGGGACATCAATTGACCAAAAAATATATATAAAATAGATTCCTATGGGATGTTTTGCATGATTAAACTTCTAAGATTCTTACCAGGGGTGGCAAGGAGGGATAAATGGGCTTCGACCCTCAAATTCTTTCAAAACTCATATTGTGCGATATATTTCATAAAATTAAAATTTTTTTTCGAGTTTTTAAAACAGTTTTTGATTAGTAATACACTCCTTAAGCTTGTGTTACGGCCCTACCACAGTTCGGTAATATTGTGGTAGAAACAGGAGGCCCTCCAACTGAACATGGCCGAGGAGGCGCTTGTGGGTAGAGAGAAGAGGTAGATAAAAATAATTGTGTCTGGGCCTCCTCTCCCTACCACAGGTGTCCTTTATCCAAAGTATCCCGTGAACCTTATTCCAACCCACTGACATGATTTCCTTACTTTCTTCTCTTGATCCTCCTAGCTTCCATAAAGGCATCGTCAGAGCTGTATTCGACTACCTAAGTAAGTATCTTATCTACTCTACAAACAGAAACAGTAATACCAACTTAGTGTAAGTAGATAGCAGAAATTTACGATCTCAACCCATGGAATATTTAAAGTATCCAATTTTTCTGGGTCCTGTCCTATAAAACGTTAACGCTTGTGGATTTGTTACGAGGGGAACCGATGACCTGTAATCCGGCTGATTTCAAGCACTAAATTTATTGCAGACTCTAAAGTCTGATCATTTCAGAGTTGAGAAGGTATCGTACACCTCTTGTTGTTCATTCATAACTCTTCTGAGCCAAATGTTTCAGGAGAGTAGTTTACAGCAAACACAAGTTAAATGTAGACCAAATATTTATCAACAAAACTAGGCATGAATACAAAGTACAAAACATACAAAGTACAGGAACAAAATAATTACTTGTAGGTTCTTTTTCAGTTGATATACCTCTTGCCCTCTTCTATAAACTGTCTTTTAAGACTCTGTTTTAGATTTTACAATTGTAGCGACTAGTATGATCAGGGGAATTCGTAGAATCTGCTTCCTGACATCTTAGAACTTCCTATACAAAGGCGATGTGAGCTCTGCCTCCTCTGATAAATGCTAAGGTAATTTTGTTTGATTTTGAAGAATATTCCATTATAGAAAATGAGCTATAACCTTACCCTAAGTGTCGTGGTAAGACCTGGACCAGGGGCTGATTTACCTTTTTGTTTTTAGGTCCCCAGAGGCCAAAAACACCATCTGTTCAAATTTATCTATACATATTCATATACATGTCCATTAGTGCAATAACTTATGAAAAAATGATCGGATACTTCTAAAACTAGGTCCAAACTATTAAACATATCGTGTAAACATGTTTATTCAAACGAGGTTGCAAACCAGTATGATCTGACAATGGGAACAGGAATATATAGGTCGTTTTATGGGATTAAGATAGGTTATTCCCATTTTTTACCCTAAAAATATACAATTTAGCAATTTATTTCTAAATCCTTTTATAGAGCTTAAAAACAGAGCATTAAGCGTTGTTTAACCCTTACCGTTATGGAGAAGGTAAAAAAATTGTAAATTTAACATTTTTATGCTCATTGTTATGGGGAATAAAGTAAACTGCTGTAGTTTGCTTGTTTATGGATATATTGTAATACAATTTGACAAATCTTTGTATTTCATACTAATTAGCTATCAACGACTCAATTAAAAACACACCTTCTCTGTAGCAGCAAAGCTAAGTGTTCATTAATATTAAGGTTATTTGAAAGGTAATAAATCTGGTAATTTTAAGTTGATATTTTAGTGGGAATCTAGATAGGTAAATGGAAATTGGCTTAGTCTACAGGTTTGCTACGGCAGAGGTATAATGATATTTAAAATTATTTTTAGATTACAAATCAGTCATAAACAGAAACGAATAATCAATATTGTAGTATAAAAGCAAGTGTGCTGTTTGTCTAACCTCTGGACGTGCATTGTTGCAGGCATATCACTGTGGTGTCTGTCAATCAACGCAACTGTAGCCTTCACTACGTCCATCTCCTTCAGCACTTTGGTGCTAGGTGAGTAGCCAACGTTTTATATCCTAAAAGAAACAAACAAATCAACAGCTGTTACGTACATTGACACTGTAAAAGGTTTCTTAAGCTACTTAATATTAAGGTCATTTGCTTATTTTGTAGATAGGTTCTTGCTCCGTTGAGCTGATCTGTTTCCCGTATAATGTTCAAAGACTTTTTTTTTTATTTTATTTATTTACTTTACAATCTGTTCTATTATACATTGAACAATAAGTAAATACTATGTAATACGAAAAATTGACTTTGGAACATTAAAAATAGCTGTTAAGCACTCTCAACAACAATTTTTTCAATAAAAACACTTTACAAAAATCTGTAGGGCAGGTCGAGAATTGATGGCCTCTTAAGTCTGTAAATTGTATCCACGTTGTTTAATAAGTTAAGAGCTAAATGATTTTGATGAGATTCCAATTTCGTAATATATCGTTCACTTATGGTCATGATTTCGTCCTTAACTGTAGGCATCTTAAGGTCTTGATGTAGTGTCCTATTGCTGACATACCATGGTGCATTTGTTATCTTCCTCAGCATTGTCGATTGGTATCTTTCGAGAATTTCTATATTAGAAGTACTCGCTGAGCCCCATAGTTGCACTCCATATGTCCAGATTGGTTTCAATATAGTTTTAGCAATAATTTATTTTCTAGACTAAGTTTTGATTTTCTTCCGATGAGCCAATTTAAAGACTTGATTTAATCAACTTTACGTAAATAAATAAAAATGTCTTTCTTCTCAATAGAAGAATACATTCTTTATTCTGAATTGAAATCAAAGCTTTAAGACAATAAGGCTTGTCATAGTATTCAAAATGTTGTGAAAGAAGAATTACTACCTCCACGGTAGTACTTTTATATGTCAATAAATAAGTTTTTAGGTAAAAACCAAATTCAGCATTTTTATTCACTATTCACTATAAACACACCACACATTTAACTGCCAACAATATAAAACAGATTGAATCGTTCCACACAGGCGATTGAAAGCAAGTGCCTATCAATTTGAGATAACTTTTACCAATTATTTTATACTGTTTTAGATCTTTGTCTATAGTTTTAGAAAATGTTCTATAGTATATAAACAATAAATCAACACATTATTTGGTATTGAAAACTAACAATTAAAATTACCTGACAGTTCACTAGTGTTGGCCCAGAAAAATCAGAAGAATCGATATATGGTGAAAGAATATATGGTTATTAAAATTCTAAACTAGGTTTATTTTACAAGAAATATTTATAAGCAAGTGTAATAATCATTTAACCTCCTGACGTACTTTGTTGCAGGCATATCACTGTGGTGTCTGTCAACCATAGCAAAAGTTTATCAAGGGAAATAACGGAACTGTAGCCTACACTACGTCAACCTCCTCCAACACTTAAATCGCAGGTGAATATCCTAAGTTTGATATCCTAAGAGAAACAAATGGGTCAACAGTTGTTTCATACATTAACACTATAAAAAGTTTCATGAGCTACCCGATATTAAGTCATCATTTGATGGATAGGTTCTAGCCTTATTGAGCTGATAGACAACAGACAACATTGTTTATTATTATTTTCTCAACTTTGGTTGAGTAAACATTTTTAGTTGAACTGTTTAGCATATTTGGTTCAATGATGCTCTTGTCAGTGGTGGAGCAAAGTGCCATACTTCAAAAAGACTGTAACCTGTTCAACAATGTGGATAGAACATTTAGTTGAGATATGCTAGAATCAAACCCTCCTCCATGAATTGGCAAGGGACATTAATAGCTGATGCTGAAAACTGACGCCAAACAAACCTAATCATGGAACATGGTGGAAGCGTCAATTCTCTTTCACTATGTTTTTGAATACTACAAAAGTGGCTCTAAAGGTGGGATACATCAAAATTAAACACAGATAATTAAAATTAATTGCCACTCAAGCTAGTGTTTTTAATACTATGACAAGCCTAATCAAACCATAACTGTGGGACCACCAAAAAGTGTAGAATCATTAAACACAGGTAATTTAAAATAAGTGGCGGTCTAGTTAGGATTCATTTTAACAATTCTTTGACACTGTTTTAGATCTTTCCGACTGAATTGGGTGTCAACTTTTGGGAGAAGATCGTCATAGAATGAATTACAACTTTAAGCTGGACTTGAACTCACAAAAAATGCTCATGTGGACTTCGCTATTTGCGGGTTTAGTGTTGCTGTCGTACCAAAGGTAGCAACATTCCTTTTGTGTGCATTATGTGTTCTGCCATCATTCATCGGATTGAGTCTTCGCTTCACTGAAGAAATCCCCGTCGTTTAGTTTTAGGTTATTACAAAGAGGTTAGGGATGGTTAGAGTTATCACAGATAACTAAATTAATTTTATTTATAATTTTAATTAGATCAGGGATTTTCACTTTTTTTACTATACAGTGTTAGGTGAAATTTTACCTTATCTTCTCATGAATTAATTAGCCATAAGCTTTTAGAACAGATTAGGGATTTTCAGGATTATTTATTAAATAGTGTTCGGTGAAATTTTACTATATTTTTTCATGAATAGGGTAGCCACAGGCTTTTAGAACAGATTGGATTTTTTTAGGTTTTTTAAAGTATATAGTGTTAGGTCAAGTTTTACTATATCATCTCATGAATAGAATAGCCATAAGTCCTAGGACAGAATAGGGAGTTTCAGGTTCTTTTTATCAGATAGAGAGTTAGGAAGATAATTAAGATATTATTACAGTAGCCTACAACGGCTTTATAGCTATGATAGGTTAGTGCCAGGCCATCCTCTAAGAGACATCTTCGAGAGCAGATCTTCAAATTCAAGACGCTTAAATATTTGTTTGTTTTGTGTGTGTGTACTTATATTTATTTCCATGTCCAATTTTAAATAATCTGATATTGTTGCACGAACATAGTGATGAACGTCACTTTACGCGATTTCAGATGTAAGTTATAAAAGATGGATGGTTTGTGTTGATTGTTAATATTAGTTTGAAAAAAACCAGAAGAAGAAGAAGAAGAGGAGGAAGGAAATCACACATAAAAAGTTACTGGTAAGTTGTATAGTTATTCAAGATAACTTGAGTAATTTATGTCCGATTTTGATAAAATTTGGTTTGAAGGTGTAAGGCGGGATAAACTTGAACCAGTTCGCTAACCAGCATGATCGGACTATGGGAACGGGGGTTTACGGGGGGGTTTTATGGTGTAAAAAAAGGGTTTTCCCATTTTTGACCCAAAAAACATTAAATTTAGCAATTTATTTCCAGACCATTTTGTAGAGCTTAAAAAAACAAATAATTTAGTATATTGAAGTATTATTATGCGCCTAATGGTTACGGAGAAAATTCCAAAAAAATGTAAATTTAAAGTTTCCATGTTATTCTTATAGAGAACAAGTAAACTGTTGTAGTTTGCTTGTTTATGAACATATTTTGATCAAATTTGGAAAATGATTTCATTTCTTACTATTAACTATTAACATTTTACCAAAAAAAAACAAACAGTTTTGCCCTCCCTGATGCAGCAAACCTAAGTACTTGTTAAACTAATTCTATTTAAATAGGAAATAAATTTTATATTTTTTAGTAGACATTTTAGTGTAAATCCAATCAGGCAAAAGTAAATTCGCTTAGTCTGCAGGTTTGCTGCGGCGGGGGGTATTATTAGATATTGTTTTCCTTTAACTAGGTGTTATTGATACGCCTTATTTAAGTTTATTTTTTCAAATCATCTGATATTGTTGCACGGACATGGTGAAGAACATTGATTTGACGCGATTTTAGATATGAGTCATAAAGTTGGATAGTTTGAGTTAATTGTTAATATTAGTTGAAAGAACCAGAAGAAGAAGAAGAAGATTAAGGAAATCACAAATAAAAAAAAGTGGTAAGTTGTGTAGTTTTTCGTAAATTCCAATTTTAATTGATTCCTCAAATGTTGCATACTGTACATATATTTTTATTATTAGATATTGTTTTTCTTTAACTAGGTGTAATTAATACGCCTTCTTTAAGTTAAGGAATAATTGTAGGATATACATATATTTTGTATTAAGTTATTTATTAAGTAATTTTTCAGTAGCCTGGTAAAATTTTAAGAAGTTTAACCATGAAAAGCTATTATATAACTCTTATCTACTTAGGCAAAGCCAGTAAATAGGGAATCATTTACGCCATCAGCAGATGGGGACATCAATTGACCAAAAAATATATATAAAATAGATTCCTATGGGATGTTTTGCATGATTAAACTTCTAAGATTCTTACCAGGGGTGGCAAGGAGGGATAAATGGGCTTCGACCCTCAAATTATTTCAAAACTCATATCGTGCGATATATTTCATAAAATTAAAAATTATTTTGGAGTTTTGAAAACAGTTTTTGATTAGTAATACACTCCTTAAGCTTGTGTTACGGCCCTACCACAGTTCGGTAATATTGTGGTAGAAACAGGAGGCCCTCCAACTGAACATGGCCGAGGAGGCGCTTGTGGGTAGAGAGAAGAGGTAGATCAAAATAATTGTGTCTGGACCTCCTCTCCCTACCACGGGTGTCCTTTATCCAAAGTATCCCGTGAACCTTATTCCAACCCACTGACATGATTTCCTTACTTTCTTCTCTTGATCCTCCTAGCTTCCATAAAGGCATCGTCAGAGCTGTATTCGACTACCTAAGTAAGTATCTTATCTACTCTACAAACAGAAAAAATAATACAAACTTAGTGTAAGTAGATAGCAGAAATTTACGATTTCAACCCATGGAATATTTAAAGTATCCAATTTTTCTGGGTCCTGTCCTATAAAACGTTAACGCTTGTGGATTTGTTACGAGGGGAACCGATGACCTGTAATCCGGCTGATTTCAAGCACTAAATTTATTGCAGACTCTAAAGTCTGATCATTTCAGAGTTGAGAAGGTATCGTACACCTCTTGTTGTTCATTCATAACTCTTCTGAGCCAAATGTTTCAGGAGAGTAGTTTACAGCAAACACAAGTTAAATGTAGACCAAATATTTATCAACAAAACTAGGCATGAATACAAAGTACAAAACATACAAAGTACAGGAACAAAATAATTACTTGTAGGTTCTTTTTCAGTTGATATACCTCTTGCCCTCTTCTATAAACTGTCTTTTAAGACTCTGTTTTAGATTTTACAATTGTTGTGAGCGACTAGTATGATCAGGGGAATTCGTAGAATCTGTTTCCTGACATCTTAGAACTTCCTATACAAAGGCGATGTGAGCTCTGCCTCCTCTGATAAATGCTAAGGTAATTTTGTTTGATTTTGAAGAATATTCCATTATAGAAAATGAGCTATAACCTTACCCTAAGTGTCGTGGTAAGACCTCGACCAGGGGCTGATTTACCTTTTGTTTTTAGGTCCCCAGAGGCCAAAAACACCATCTGTTCAAATTTATCTATACATATTCATATACATGTCCATTAGTGCAATAACTTATGCAAAAATGATCGGATACTTCTAAAACTAGGTCCAAACTATTAAACGTATCGTGTAAACATGTTTATTCAAACGAGGTTGCAAACCAGTATGATTTGACAATGGGAACAGGAATATATAGGTCGTTTTATGGGATTAAGATAGGTTATTCCCATTTTTTACCCTAAAAATATACAATTTAGCAATTTATTTCTAAATCCTTTTATAGAGCTTAAAAACAGAGCATTAAGCGTTGTTTTACGCCTTACCGTTATGGAGAAAGTAAAAAAATTGTAAATTTAACATTTCTATGCTCATTGTTATGGGGAATAAAGTAAACTGCTGTAGTTTGCTTGTTTATGGATATATTGTAATACAATTTGACAAATCTTTGTATTTCATACTAATTAGCTATCAACGATTCAATTAAAAACACACCTCTGTAGCAGCAAAGCTAAGTGTTCATTAATATTAAGGTTATTTGAAAGGTAATAAATCTGGTAATTTTAAGTTAATATTTTAGTGCGAATCTAGATAGGTAAATGGAAATTGGCTTAGTCTACAGGTTTGCTACGGCAGAGGTATAATGATATTTAAAATTATTTTTAGATTACAAATCAGTCATAAACAGAAACGAATAATCAATATTGTAGTATAAAAGCAAGTGTGCTGTTTGTCTAACCTCTGGACGTGCATTGTTGCAGGCATATCACTGTGGTGTCTGTCAATCAACGCAACTGTAGCCTTCACTACGTCCATCTCCTTCAGCACTTTGGTGCTAGGTGAGTAGCCAACGTTTTATATCCTAAAAGAAACAAACAAATCAACAGCTGTTACGTACATTGACACTGTAAAAGGTTTCTTAAGCTACTTAATATTAAGGTCATTTGCTTATTTTGTAGATAGGTTCTTGCTCCGTTGAGCTGATCTGTTTCCCGTATAATGTTCAAAGACTTGATTTAATCAACTTTACGTAAATAAATAAAAATGTCTTTCTTCTCAATAGAAGAATACATTCTTTATTCTGAATAGAAATCAAAGCTTTAAGACAATAAGGCTTGTCATAGTATTCAAAATGTTGTGAAAGAAGAATTACTACCTCCACGGTAGTACTTTTATATGTCAATGAATAAGTTTTTAGGTAAAAACCAAATTCAGCATTTTTATTCACTATTCACTATAAACACACCACACATTTAACTGCCAACAATATAAAACAGATTGCATCGTTCCACACAGGCGATTGAAAGCAAGTGCCTGTCAATTTGAGATAACTTTTACCAATTATTTTATACTGTTTTAGATCTTTGTCTATAGTTTTAGAAAATGTTCTATAGTATATAAACAATAAATCAACACATTATGTGGTATTGAAAACTAGCAATTAAAATTACCTGACAGTTCACTTGTGTTGGCCCAGAAAAATCAGAAGAATCAATATGGTGAATGAATATATGGTTATTAAAATTCTAAACTAGGTTTATTTTACAAGAAATATTTATAGACAAGTGTAATAATCATTTAACCTCCTGACGTACTTTGTTGCAGGCATATCATTGTGGTGTCTGTCAACCATAGCAAAAGTTTATCAAGGGAAATAACGGAACTGTAGCCTACACTACGTCAACCTCCTCCAACACTTAAATCGCAGGTGAATATCCTATGTTTGATATCCTAAGAGAAACAAATGGGTCAACAGTTGTTTCATACATTAACACTATAAAAAGTTTCATGAGCTACCCGATATTAAGTCATCATTTGATGGACAGGTTCTAGCCTTATTGAGCTGATAGACAACAGACAACATTCTTTATTATTATTTTCTCAACTTTGGTTGAGTAAACATTTTTAGTTGAACTGTTTAGCATATTTGGTTCAATGACGCTCTTGTCAGTGGTGGAGCAAAGTGCCATACTTCAAAAAGACTGTAACCTGTTCAACAATGTGGATAGAACATTTAGTTGAGATATGCTAGAATCAAACCCTCCTCCATGAATTGGCAAGGGACATTAATAGCTGATGCTGAAAACTGACGCCAAACAAACCTAATCATGGAACAAGGTGGAAGCGTCAATTCTCTTTCACTATGTTTTTGAATACTACAAAAGTGGCTCTAAAGGTGGGATACATCAAAATTAAACACAGATAATTAAAATTAATTGCCACTCAAGCTAGTGTTTTTAATACTATAACAAGCCTAATCAGACCATAACTGTGGGACCACCAAAAAGTTTAGAATCATTAAACACAGGTAATTTAAAATAAGTGGCTGTCTAGTTAGGATTCATTTGAACAATTCTTTGACACTGTTTTAGATCTTTCCAACTGAATTGGGTGTCAACTTTGGGGAGAAGATCGTCATAGAATGAATTACAACTTTAAGCCGGACTTGAACTCACAAAAAATGCTCACGTGGACTTCGCTATTTGCAGGTTTTGCTGTCGTACCAAAGGTAGCAACATTCCTTTTGTGTGCATTATGTGTTCTGCCATCATTCATCGGATTGAGTCTTCGCTTCGCTGAAGAAATCCCCGTCGTTTAGTTTTAGGTTATTACAAAGAGGTTAGGGATGGTTAGAGTTATCACAGATAACTAAATTCATTTTATTTATAATTTTAATTAGATCAGGGATTTTCACTTTTTTTACTATACAGTGTTAGGTGAAATTTTACTTTATCTTCTCATGAATTAATTAGCCATAAGCTTTTAGAACAGATTAGGGATTTTCAGGTTTATTTATTAAATAGTGTTAGGTGAAATTTTACTATATTTTTTCATGAATAGGTTAGCCATAGGGTTTTAGAATAGATTGGATTTTTTTAGGTTTTTTAAAGTATATAGTGTTAGGTCAAGTTTTACTATATCATCACATGAATAGAATAGCCATAAGCCCTAGGACAGAATAGGGATTTTCAGGTTCTTTTTATCAGATAGAGAGTTAGGAAGATAATTAAGATATTATTACAGTAGCCTACAAAGGCTTTATAGCTATGACAGGTTAGTGCCAGGCCATCCTCTACGAGACATCTTCGAGAGCAGATCTTCAAATTCAAGACGCTTAATTATTTGTTTGTTTTGTGTGTGTGTGTGTACTTATATTTATTTCCATGTCCAATTTTAAATAATCTGATATTGTTGCACGAACATAGTGATGAACGTCACTTTACGCGATTTCAGATATAAGTTATAAAGATGGATGGTTTGTGTTGATTGTTAATATTAGTTAAAAAAAAACCAGAAGAAGAAGAAGAAGAGGAAGAAAATCACACATAAAAAGTTACTGGTAAGTTGTGTAGTTATTCAAAAGTTCAAATTTTATTGATTCCCAAAATATGTAGCATACTGTACATATATTTTAGCGAATTTCCCTATAGGGAAGTAGCTATTACCGTAGGTCTCATGGTAAGACCGGGACCGATTTTCTTTTTCATTTTGATGTCCTCAGAGGCCAAAAACACCATTCGTTCAAATTTTTATATATCTATATATGGATATATATAATTATAGGCTATATGTGTCCATCCGCACGATAACTTGAGTAATTTTTGTCCAATTTTGATAAAATTTGGTTTGAAGGTATAAGGCGGATAAACTTGAACCAGTTTGCGAACCAGCATGATCGGACTATGGGAAGGGGGGTTTACGGGGGTTTTTTTTTTGTGTAAAAAGAGGTTTTTCCCATTTTTGACCCAAAACACATAAAATTTAGCAATTTCTTTCCAGACCATTTTGTAGAGCTTAAACAAACAAATAATTTAGTATGGTATATTGAAGTGTTATTATGTGCCTAATGGTTAGGGAGAAAATTCAAAAAAATTTCAATTTAAATTTCCCATGTTATTCTTATGGAGAAGAAGTAAACAGTTGTTGTAGTTTGCTTGTTTATAAACATATTTTGATCAAATTTGGAAATTTTTTTAATTTCTTACTATCTATTAACAATTTACAAAAAAAAATCAGTTTTGCCTTCCCTGATGCAGCAAACCTAAGTACTTGTAAAACTAATTCTATTTAAATAGGAAAAAAATTTTATATTTTTAAGTAGACATTTTAGTGTAAATCCAATCAGGCAAATGGAAATTTGCTTAGTCTGCAGGTTTGCTGCGGCGGGGGTATTTATTATTAGATATTGTTTTCCTTTAACTAGGTGTTATTGATACGCCTTCTTTAAGTTTATTTTGTATAGGCCTAAGTTATTTATTAAGTCATTTTTCAGTAGCCTGGTAAAAGTTTAATGTCCAGTTTCAAATCATCTGATATTGTTGCACGGACATAGTGATGAACGTTGTTTTGATGCGATTTCAGATATGAGTCATAAAGTTGTATAGTTTGAGTTTATTGTTAATATTAGTTAAAAGAACCAGAAGAAGAAGAAGAAGAAGATTAAGGAAATCACAAATTAAAAAAAAGTGGTAAGTTGTGTAGTTTTACGTAAATTCCAATTTTATTTTTATTTTAAACATATATTTTTATTATTAGATATTTTTTCATTTAACTAGGTGTTATTAATACACCTTCTTTAAGTTAGGGAATAATTGTAGGATATACATATATTTTGTATTAAGTTATTTATTAAGTCATTTTTCAGTAGCCTGGTAAAAGTTTAAGAAGTTTAATCATGAAAAGCCATTATGTAACTCTTATCTACTTAGGCAAAGCAATCTACTTAGGCTTCAGCAGATGGACATCAATTGACCAACAAATAGATATAAAATAGATTCCTATGTAAGGTTTTGCATGATTAAACTTCTAAGATTCTTACCAGGGGTGGCAAGGAGGGATAAATGGGCTTCGGCCCTCAAATTATTTCAAAAATCATATCGTAAGATATATTTGACAAAATTCAAAAATTTGTTTGGAGTTTTGAAAACAGGTTTTGATTAGTAATCCACACCTTAAGCTTGTGTTACGGCTCTACCACAGTACGGTAATATTATGTGGTAGAAACAGGAGGCCCTCCACCTGAACATGGCCGAGGGAGCGCTTGTGTGTAGAGAGAAGAGGTAGATAAAAATAATTGTGTCTGGACCTCCTCTCCCTACCACGGGTGTCCTTTATCCAAAGTATCCCTTGAACCTTATTCCAACCCACTGTCGTGATTTCCTTACTTTCTTCTCTTCATCCTGCTAGCTTCCATAAAGGCATTGTCAGAGCTGTATTCAACTACCTAAGTAAGTATCTTATCTACTCTACAAACAGAAACAATAATAGGGTAATACAACCTAAGTCTAAGTAGATAGCAGAAATTTACCAAAAAAAAAGTAAGTAAAGTAAGTAAGTAAGAAAAGTATCCAAGACAGTTTACTACAATGGAAAATATAATATGTCGGCAAATAACATTTTAGGTCAAGCTATTCCATATTTAAAATTACTAATCTAAAAAATAACTGCCAACTATTAAACTGTCCCTTTAGGATTTGGAAGTCAAATGCAAGTAAATGAAGAGACTCAGGTAAATAGAAGTAAGTTTTGTTCCAGATAGGATTACTTTTAATAGTTCGTTGATCCTGTTTCAGATCTCTCCGATTGTAGCGGGAGAACTTTCCTGAGAAAATCTCACAGCAAGTAATTCAACTACTTCCAAGTATGAACTTCCCGCTTCGAGAAGCTGTTAATATCAGCTGTCTTTTTTATCATTTGCAGGTAGCTTTTTACATATCTAATAACTAAATGTTTAAATTGATAAGAATACGATACTCAATGGATTTACGTTACGACGTACATGCTCCGTAACTACACAGCGCTCCCAGTGGAGTGTGCCATAACCTATGGTAACCGCAGATCGTAAACCACAGTTTATTCTTTTAGTGTATGAAGATACACAATGGATTTACAGATCAGCATTACTAAACAGTAAACATGCAACACAACACCCAGTATGTTACTGAAAAATAAAGTAACAAATAAAATAGATCTCATGATATATTTAAATTACCTAACTGAGTACTGGCGTTTTTCCAAAATAATCAGTAAATTCTATATATATATCGAAGATATGATAAATTAAATTCTAGACTTGCTTGACTTTACAAGAAACATATATATTTAATTGTAATTGTGTTAATCCTTTAATCTTTTAACCCCTTGATGTGCCTTGTTGCAGGTATATCACCGTGGTGTGCTGGTGTCTGCCAATCGTACCAAAAGTGTAGCATGGGATTTAACGCTGCTGTATATTCTGCCCCACGTCAGGCTCCTTGAACAGTTTCGTCCCTTAAGGTGACTATCTAACAAATGATTTACTATTTAAAACAAAGAAATTAATAGTTGTTAAATACATAGCCACTTTAAAAGGTCTCTTAATTTTTTTAATGTTCTTGCTATATTGAGCTGATCTGTTTCCCATATGAGGCTCAAGAAGAATCTTGTCAGTGGTAAAGCAAAATTACAAACTACATAAATACTCAGGGCTGTATTTCCCTAGCAGTGAACACAGCAGTTGCGGGGACCTTGGCCTAGGAGGGGGCCCATCTATTTTTTTATTTGTTGATAAAATAATTGCACTGATTTAATCCGTTTCTCCGCGATTGAGAGAGACTTTGATGTCCACATGGTCGCGGGAAAAAGATAAGAATTTTGCCTCATTTGCTGAAGACAATGATGGTCTCCATATGACCGTGGGAGATAATTACCATTTTGCCGCAATCGCGAGAGGCAATTACTATGTCTACACATGTGTCCATATACAACCGGGGGTGACGATATAATGATTTCCACACAGCCGCGAGGGGTGATCAGAATTTGACCTCCCCGGCTATCGCGTAAGACGATAGTAATGTCGACACAACTGCGGGAAAAGATCAGAATTTTGCCTCATACTTGGTAGACAATGATAATCTCCCCAAGACGGTGGGATTTTTTCATATATTGCCACGATAATGGAAGATGATAATTATGTCTACACGGCCGTGGAAAATGGTCAGAATTTTGCCTACACGGCTGCGAGGATTATCAGAAGATTACCACAATCGCATGCAAATACAATCACTATTTTTTTTTTATTTACAATTTTTTGTCGCCCCCCAAAAAAGCTAATTGCCTCGCACCTTATATCGGCCCTGCACATTCCAATTAGTAAACCAATGGATCTTATGAGCGCTTGCCCACTGTACTACAGTCTAACAACTACATCATTCTGTCGTTGTGCATTTGTCCACTGAATCTGTGATCCACAACTGTCGCCTGACTGTTGTGCTCGCAATGGCGTACATGATTAAATGGGCGTTCACCCACACCACAATTTTTTTGTCGGATTTCGTGCGTTCTCCCCAATAGTCCTAGTTCTGGTTGCACCTTCTCTCTGTGCACTTTGCATACTGCGTTTGTTTTTTGGAGTGAATAGTGACAGTTGTGAGTGGAAATGGCATAAAATGAATTATCGGGTAGATCAAAAATAGCAACTGAAATGATAATCGACAATGATGATTTGATTTAATTAGTAGAAGCAAACCCAGTACTGTGGGATAAAACTTTAAACTATTATTAGGACAGAAATTAAACGAAAGAAGCAAGGAAACTAGTTAGCTCTGCTCTGAGAGAGGATTTTGAACAATTGGAGGGTAAAGAAAAAAAAGTCGGTTTTTTACTCAATTAATAATTTGATTAATTGGGTGAATCCAGTACTTCTGCTCAATCCTACGCTGCCTAATTCTGTGCCTCATTGCAACAACACTTAACAGATTCATTGTTTTACTATTTTTAATACAGAACCACTGTTAATATATTGCGCAACACACACTCACTCGTCCACAGCTACCGAGCAACTGGTCATTTACCCGATTTAAATGTGTCACACATACGTTAAAAATACAGTAAAAAACAGTAAACATGCAATTGTACGTAAATAAACCGATGTATAAATTGGAAAAATAAACTAACAATTAAATAAGATTTTTGTATCTATATCTTTGAGTTAGATTAAGTCATCTACAACATATTGTAAATTGGTTCTTGACCGTTGGAAGGTAAAATAAAATAATAAAAATAAAAGATCAAACGATAGATATTCTAGATTTGGTTGATTTCACAAGAAACGTATATAATTAATTGTAATTGTGTTAATCCTCTAATCTTTTAACACCTTGATGTGCCTTGTTGCAGGCATATCACCGTGGTGTGCTGGTGTCTGCCAATCTTACCAAAAGTGTAGCATGGGATTTAACGCAGCTGTATTCTGCCCCACGTCAGGCTTCTTGAACACTTTCGTCTCATAAGGTAACTCATACACTTGATTAACTATCTGAAACAAAGAAATAAATAGTTGTTAAATACATAGACACTTTAAAAGGTGTCTTAAGATTTTTTTGGTTCTTACCATATTGAGCTGATCTCTTTCCTGTATGAGGTTCAAGAACAATCTTCTTGTTACAGGTAGAATTTAAAATATATTTCTAACAGTGCATTTAGAGTGGAGTCAACATTTTAGTAGCCACAGTTACCAACCTTTTGTGTTTTAAAAAAATACACAAATACCAGTTGCGTCGAAACAAAACCGCTGTTACATTTGAACCCTACTTGCGACGTTGCCACTTCAATGGCTGTGGCCTAGAATTAAAGGGGGCCTGAATGTAAAAGAATATTACAATAAAAGGTTTAAATTACCCGTATCCGTCAAGTGATCCGGGTTTGTGTTAATTGACTACAGCCGTTTCGTGTTGTAAAAACATATCATCAGGTCAAAGGTATATTGATCTATTCCATGGTCTTCATAAGTTTTAAAGTTCACAGAAATAACACATACACGTATACAAAACATTAAACATAAATTATCCAAAACTAAAAATACAAAAACTCCTATGACCTACTTTCTACTGGCGCCATACGTGTCCGATGTATATTACGCGTTTTTCGTATTTTTTGTTTTGGCCAATTTATGTTTAATGTTTCGTGTACGTGTATGTGTTATTTTTGTGAACCTTAAAACTTATGACGACCATTCCATGGAATAAATCAATCTACATTTGACCTGAAAATGTGTTTTTACAACACAAAACGGCTGTAGTCAATTAACTACAAACCAGGATCACTTGACGGATACAGGTAATTTAAACCTTTTATTGTAATATTCTTTTATCTAGAGGCTATACCATAAAAATTAAAAGAATACTCATTGAAAGAGACCATATACAATTAATTAGGTCCCAGGTCCTACTATCAGAGTTGCGGTGGTTAGATATGCGACATATGTATTATGAGCGACTCATCAGTATTCTAAGTATCAGCATTGACTATATATACCTACATATATATACTATAAGGTGTATATAGTCAATGGTATCAGGTAGTGTGTCCCTGATACTAGTGATGATTGTTATCTTTCTTCTGTTAAGATGGAGGGAGAGTACTAGTTGCCAACTTGGACCTGCTCTGTGTCGCCGTCACCACAGGCTGTACAGACCGACTCGCCACTCTGAACGACTTTGGAAAGCAAAGTATTGGAAAATGCTCTGTTTATTTCTAATCTTTTTTTGTATTAAACTCTGTTTACAAAATTTTGGTGGTTATAGGGGGTTCTTTACATTTAATTACCTATTGAAAATTCATTAGACTTGATGAAAAAGTATATTTTTAACTGAGATAAAATTACAATGAACAAACATTAGAAGTGTAAAAGTGTATTTATTATTTATTTATTTATTTATTCATGCAACAAAAGATTATAAACAAAATACATTTTATACAAAGCTTCAAACACCTCAGTAGGCTTGTCTGCAGCTATAGATAGAGTCCAGTTCAAATTCCATTCACAAAATGCCAGTCAGTTTCATACCTTGTACAAGCTATTCTTCCAATCTGTTAAATACATAGAAAAGTAAACAAGCAAACAAACAGATGTTAATCCTAACATCTGCTTATTATTACAACATCTCCCCCTTTTCAGTTTCACTCATATCTTTTTACAGGTTTTACTAGTCTTCCAAACTTTGTTCCAATTTCTTCATTAGGATGACTAGATCGTAAAGCAGGATGATTATTGTTATTATTATTACAACAGAAACAATAGCTGGACAGATGTCAATAAGCTCAACCGCTTAATCAGCTGTTACATACATTAAGAGAAAAGTGTTGGGGAAACCCAGAAAAACTTCCCCTTCAACCACCTGCATTTTGTAAACGGACTATAGTGATGTGATTATTGTTTGGTACTGTGTTGTCCATTTATGTAAGGGTAAAAAAATATGCTATACTCTAACATCGTTTGCACGGAGTGCTCCGTTTTTTGTTTGTAAAAATATTTTGGTGCTAGACTTTATTAAATAGAATCAGAAAAATTCCCAGATGTATGGCTGGAATGTAGGAGCGACGAAAAGGTCTATACAGCGCTGTACCTCACTAACTCCCAATACCCTTTCCTAACCCACCCAAAATAACAAGACTGGATCGTAGTCTCCTCTATTCCCAGTTAGAGCTCTGAGAGGTAAAATATAAACAATATGTAAAATGTTTAGGGAGATTACTGGCGTAATCCTAGATTGGCCTTGTTTAGAGAATAGCCGGCTCTCTAACCCTGGCTACTGAGCCGGAGCACTCCTAACAAATTTACAGTTTTTTTCATTATTTTATTTTTATTTTGTGTAAGTTGTTACACAAGTAGTGTAAGGAGTAATGGTCACTTAAATATTACATCGGTTTGCTTTGTTATAGTATGAATAAAATTATTTAAAAAAAGATTTTTTAAATGCATTTTTTAGTAGAACATATTATTATGTAGAACATATATTTACAATGTACAATACAGTACTCTAGTTTTTTGTATTGTGGTGTATTTATGCATGACTGTTTAAAGGTATATAAGTCGATACAAAAAGGACTTAGTAGACTAGCCATGCACAGGAGTCCGGTGAAAGCTCCTGCGGTGTGTGTGTTCTTCACAGAGCAAACAAATAGCTTTTGAAATATAAACTGATGCGCTCGAACGCACCTATTAAGTATATCTTTTCCGACTGTTATTCAATTTCCGTTTTCCAATATAGGGGATAAGCTATTACCGTAGGTCTTATAATACCCGGACCTGGGACGAATTAACTTATTCGTTTAGATGTCCCCAGAGAACAAAAACACCATCCGTTGAAATGCATTCATTCCATTAGGACGATAACCGTTAACTTGCGTAACAATAACCCAATTTTGATTATATTTGGTATAAACATTTAGTAAACTTTACGCTTATTCAAATAATGAGTTTGGGAACCAGCATGCTTGGGCCATGGGGATGGAGTTTTAGGGAGGGAGTTTATGCGGTAAAAAATGGGTTTTCTTTTCATTTATAAAATATAAAATGTTCAAATTTTTTTTCAAACAATTTGTGAAGCTTACAAACCCAAATTACTTAGTAGATTGTTCCAAAGAAAAACGGTAAATCCGAAATTTCCATGTTATTTTATAGAGAATAAATAATCTTAAGCAGTTTTCTTTTTTATAAATATTTTTAATCAAACATGGCAAATTGATTTATTTCATACTCGCCTTTTAGTATTTCACTAAAACACACTTAACTGTCCTGTAGCAGCAAACCTAAGCACTCACTGAACCTAATGTTTTAAATAGGAAATACATTTTACAAGGTATATGACAGTGTTTTAAATATCTTTTGCCATCCCAGATTCAAGAACTTGCATTATAACTATTAGATCTACCTTTGTTGTAGTTGCCTAAGTTCTTCTTGGTAGGAGATTTGTATCACCCCATGAATTTCTCCACCTTGTGTTTCATCTTCAGGTGTTTTCTTGAATTCATCTTATTAATACACTAATTTATATTTACAATAATATTTACACACATGGTCACTAGTATTGCGGTCGGGTCGATCGGACAGTGACGATGTACATGTGGCAGAAGTATGGTGGATGGTCTTTCTTCCTCCGTTTCATTTCTAGACTTAGGGATGTCGGCATTAGGGCCGATCAACGGTTGAGGTTAATTTGACTCTCCTGGTTTATGGTCGGTGCTTTGATCTCTGTTGTTGCTGATGGTTAGGTGCTGTGTTTCCAGATTTGCTTGTTTCAATGTCGCTGTCGTAATTTGAAAATTGTAGGACGGTGTAATCTTCTTGTTTGTTTAGGAGGGTGTTCGATCCATTTATATTTTGTAACTTTCTTGTACTTTTGCTATGGGTTTTTGAGTCGGTTTTGTTCTGAATTGTGAGGGAATCGGGAATTGTAGAATTCTAGAGCTGTTATGATGACTTGTGTCATGCTCTTTAAATCGTTGATAAACTGTTCTGTTGGTGTAACCTATGGTATTGGTTGTTAGATGGTGGTTATAGGAAATATTTTTGTGACTCTCCCATCTTTAATTAGCCTGTCTTTTATATAAGGAATTTTGTGATTTGGGATGAGGTTGGTTTTCACTTTATAGGTAGGTGTGTCCAACTCTTTTGGAATTTCTAGGCTGATTTGTCTATATAGTTGGTGGATACATACGTATCTTTTGGTTGGGTCATGTACGTCTGGTTGTTTCCTTTTCCATTTGGTTGGTTATCGTGTCAAACCTCGAATGGTCTAATGCTGACAATCCTAGTCCAAGAATTGAAACAGAGGAAGAAAGACCTACTGCCATGACTACGCCACTTACTCATTGACACGTTGTCCGATCAACCCTACCGCTATACTAGTGACCGTTTATGTAACAATATTTTTGTAAATTTAGACATTAGTGTAGTGTAATAAGGAGATAAATTCAAGAAGACCCCTGAAGACGCCGCATAAGGTGGAGAAATCCATTTGGTGACACAAACATCTTACCTGCAAGAGGTCAGGCAACAACAACAAAGGTAAATGTGACAATTTTTTGTTAAACGCAAATCAGGCAAAAACAAATTTTCTTAGTCTGCAGGTTTGCTGCGGCACATGGTATTTATTCCTCACAATTTCTAAGCGATTTACTGGCAAGTCTGCAGGTCCTTGTGGAATGTAATTCAATTCCAATCTGGATTTGGGGTATATGTAAGTTTTTTGGTTTTTGTTAGCTAATTTTCTGTTCTGTGTACTGTAGTTATTTTTGTTATTCATTCACTATATTTAGGTGGTTTTAGGGGAAGAATCCCCTCCACTTGACCCTTACCTTTGAAATAATAGCTCAACAGCTGATTAAGCAACATACATTAAATACAAAAAATTGGTGGGGGAGCTTCCCCTCAAACCCCTTAAATATTGTGGACGGAGTAGTAATGCAGAGTCAACAATCATGTACACCATGTAGTTATAAGTTTCTTTTCTCTTAGTATATTGTTCTGTTAAC